CCGCTGGTGGGACTTAGATAGTGATATGTATACACCATCTCTTATAGTGCTCTCCACCCACACGCACATCTGTTATAAGTGTGTGTGTGTTTGTATGTGTGCAGGGAGCTCCTTGCATTGATTGCAGTGGCGGTAATTAGCACTTCATCAACTATGATTGCAGGAACTATCTCCCCATCTCCAATGTGTTTTTATTAGCTGTAAAAAAGCAACGTCTCTGATTTTCCCCAAAAACTTTGTGTGTCTGTAAGTGTGTGTGCATGTTGTTGATAAGATGAAAATGTGGATAGTATTTTTAGTTGTCTTTGTTTTATGCCATATCTTTGAGAATGTGTTTCTTAGAAAATCACACAACTCCCTTGCAAAATGTTACTTCTTCCAGGATACTTGACAAAGAGAAAAGGAGTGTGACTAGAGATAGAAAGAGAGGGAGAGGGGAACATACTTGTAAAAAATAGAGGACAACAGTCCAAATATTTACTCTATCTATACAGTCTCTATCCCAGAACATAGCTGGTGAACTGTGGTATAGAAAATAGATCTGAAGGTACACAGACTCTGCTCCAACAGGGCGTTATAGAGAAGGGGAAGGTTTCTTGGATGAACCGTCAGCAAGCAAAGTACCACAAGCGTGGTTGTGAAATGCGTTATTCACATAAATTCTCACAGTTTCAGAGGAATCTAAAGGCATTCCATGATCAGAGGTCCTCTTCCCTCCTGTGCTGGAGAAACCCAGCGGCCTCAGAGTCGATCCCCCGCATGCTGAGAGAGCTGGAGAAAGCGAGGATGAGGTGGAGAAAGATGAGGAGGAGCAAGAGAAGAAAGGAAGGGAGGTACGCCTGTGGCTAGAGTCTAGTCAGGAAAAGGCCTGCCTCCATTACGTCTCTCCCGCACCCCCACCCCCGTTCCACACACAGACACACACATACACACACTGGGCATTGCTCAGGTGTGGTTATGTGGTGGGCTTGTCGGGTTTGCTGACAGGTTTACCTCCATTCATCATCGCCGGCTCACTTGTGCTTTTACTGGGAGGCACTGCCGCCTTGGGCACAGTCTCTCCAACATCATGCAATGATGGCTCTCTGTACATGGCAACTAGAAGAGCAGATGATATGGAAAGAAAGGACAGAGACAAGGGAAAAGCTGTTAGTGAGGACCTCTTTCAAGCAACTTTGAATTTACCCGTCTAAAACTATTTGAGGGGTGTCTTTCCCCAAACAATATTTTCTGTTTCTTTCTTTTCTTATACAAACAGGAAGCCATCAAACTTGCACTGAATTTCCCACAATTTACCAGTGGGAAAAAGCTGATCTCTTGCCTATCATGGACTTCACACTACCATCCTGAGCACCGTCCGCCTCCATCAGGGCTGATTCTGAATCTAAGAGCATACGTTTTGACAAAACTGTGAAAAGTGTCTCGTTATCCCCCACTTTACAGGCACTACACTACAGCTGTACAACTGTCTTGACAGGACACTCCAACCTGATTCTATGTTTAAGTGATGGGGAGCAATCAGGCTGGTGCCTGACAAGAGTGATGGTGGCATCTGTCGGACTATCAGCATCACATGCTGCTTCACAGAGCTGTCCTGCATTCTACTCTGTATGCATACAGCAATGAAAGAGTAAAATGGCACATAAATCCAAAAATCTGTCAAACAGATATTTCACATAAAGTGGTTGGACCATTACCAAGGATTATGCAATGCTCATTGTTTTTGTTGTTATAGAGATGAATTTACCCAAGATCGCATTTACTTACTGTATATTTCCACCTAAAAGCTGTTATATTTCCTGCTGGAAAACTACACCATACAGTAGTTTACAGTGACAAGGGCTCCTTCAACACTGACAACTCAAAAACTGCTCCAGGTAACAGAGAGTGAAAGTGAGATGAAGATGTGGGGGAAATGCTAACGAGCTGCTGATTATGCCCTCGAGTCTCTCTGGTGGGTGCACAACTTTTAGAAGTAGGTGACTCAAAACCTCTGCATAAAACTCCAACTGAAACTGAGAAAATGTTATTTTGTAATGTGGGTGATCGGACCATGTAAAGGATGGGGATTTGCAGTTTTAAGTGTGTGTGTGTCATCGAATTTTGTTAAAAGACCAGAAGAAGTAATGCATATATGCTTTCTAACTTCCGCAGCGTATGTCTGGCATTTAACCTCAAACCTGCTGGTTCCTACTGAAGACAAATCTTGCTTTAATTTTAAAATGCTGCTAAGTAATTTCCTAAAACACTTAGCGCTGTAGTATTGTGCAAATTTATTGTAACTGGAGTGCATTTGCCGGAGGCTACACACTGAGTAACAATGATAAAATTCAGATTTTTTAACAGAGGTGGTAGAATAGGAGCACACAAACACAATACTCCAGTAAAAATGGAAGCACTTTCCTAAAAAAGAACAAGTAGCAGTACCACATGAAATTCTTAATTTAAGTTGAGGTACTAAGTACATGCTTTAACATTTACTTAAAGTGCTAAGTACTAAGAAAACATTATATTTTAAACCCCATTGAATTTGATGCTGTTAACATGAATGTGTCTAGTCCACATTTGTTCAACAAACCTTGAAAGGTGAAAAATATGGCATTTTTCTAGTAATTAGTAAAATACAATGGTCCAAAATCTGTGTTACTATATTGTGTTTTGACATGGGGAAAAAAAAAACAGCACGGCTGCTAAAGGTTGGGCCAAATTTAAGCACTTTATGTACTGCCAGGTAGTTAATCGATAATAATACATCAGTCTGAATCTGCAAAGGAACTAAAACTGTCAAATAAATGAAATGAGTAAAAAGTATAAAATTTCCCATCTAAACTGTCATGGAGTGAAAGTAAAAGTAAATGGAAATACGTAGTAAAGTACTGTACAAGTACCTGTAAACTGTACTTAACTACAGTACTTGAGTAAATGTACTTGGTTATTTGCCACCTCTGATTTTTAATACCATTTATTTAAGCTCCAGGGGTTGGGTATTTAAATTTCAATTTAAATTTTTTATTAAATTTCACCCTGAGCTTCTGTTACTTACCTTCTAATGGCTTGGGCAGGAAATGAGCAGCTGGTTTTGTTTTTTTCACTCGGTTCCCCTTCATGGCTTGGCCCTCTTTGTTGAGCCCTAGGAACCACGCTCGCCCCGACTCCTGTTGTCTGTACAACATGGACGAGTAGATCACATAGTAGTTCTCAAACACCGACTCTTTGAACTTGCACTCTGGTGTAAAGAGTTCCTGCGTAGACACAAAACAGCACCAGATACACTGTTAAAACCATCTGAAACAAAAAAACACCACACAGAAGATTTCTTGCTTGATAAGAATAAAACATGTCAGATTAATTCATTACTGTATGTTTGAACTTGTACAGGTCACCCAGGACAAATACAGCTTTTATTTCACCCTCACAATGTATAGAATAATGTTACAGCAGGGTCAGAAAATGCCCTCTCGGATGAAATAGACTTCATACGTCCACCTGCCATGAAAAGGGTGAGCGCTGTGGGGTCTGTTGCTATAATCATGTCTGATTCAAGCCAAGCCTAATGACCTGCTCTGATGAAATGCAACTCTCATTCTCTCCTTGGCTTTAACCTTGACATCAGATGTGACGGTATTCTTTTAGTCAATTATCTCATGTTCCCGGAAGAAAGTATATATCGTTGGGCTCTGACCCAACAGCTCAGCACTGGAAAAATCAGCACCTTCCCCCCACTTGCCTAGTCAGGCACTACTGGCTTGTTCCTCTTTTTGGTTTATAACCCAAGGGAGTTAATTCTTACCAAACAGTGTGTCTTCTATTATCCATATGCCTATGACAGCCTTGTGAATTTTGTAGCAATAATGGCAGGACTAATCAAGTGACTCCACCATCCTTTACACCTCAATCTGGCAATGACAATTGAACACTAAGGCATCACATCTTTCTCTGCTGTTGTCCATTTATCTCCAACCAGAAGGGTAATAAAGAGCGTTTCCACAATGTCCGCCCGGCCAGGCTCTACATCGCAGTGTATTAATCATAACAATGGAGGGTTTCACATCTGTTGTGAGCAATTCACACTGAGGTAGCTCACAGAACTACTGGCATTATATGAAAAATCCACAGATATATCTGGCATCACTGTGCTTCTCACTGTCAGGGTCTGCACTCATTAAAAAGATTCCATGGGGCAAGAAAAACTTTGATATTGTGCTAAACATGTTTAGCATATAGCACAGTATGTTGATCACTTAATATTGAAGTAAAGTATATGAAGCCAAACTAACAGAGCTCTACAGCCATGCTAGCAGCTCTGTGAGGCTGTACTTGAGCACAGCATAGCTCTGAGCTAAATGCTAAAATCAGCATGCTGACACGGTCACAGTGGCAATGCTACAATGCTGTTGTGTAGTAGGTCTAATTTTTACCATGTTCACCATCTTAATTTGCCATGTGCTAACATTTGCTAATTAGCATTAAACACAAAATACAGCTAAGGCTGATGGGAGAGTCACTGCAAGTATTTGGTGATCAAGTAAAATTTGCAGATAAAGTACAATTTGCCATTTAATCTAGTAACTGTTGAGACATTTCAGTATGGAGCAAAGTGTTAATTTTTCACATTATTTTAATTCTCAATAACTTCACTAGACTTTAATTTTGTATTTCTATGTTGACGTTCTCCTTTTGCAAACTGCCTGTACTGTGATTTCACAGGATATTAGGACAACACCATACCGTGATTGGCCCTTGTCAGGACGGAGCCTGCATACAAAATTCGACTAAGCTGTGCAGGAAGGAGCAGAAAGATTCTGGGGATGATCACAATAACCCTGAGAAGCAGTCTGCTGTATTTGGAGTGTCCTCTCTAACCCTGATTCAGGACTTGTGCTTTTCTCAGTAGAGCGCACAAATGCAGGTTGCATAAGAACAGCATTAGCTGAGATGTCAAAAAAACTTGGTGTGATTCCACACAGTGAGAAACAGTCAACACTGATCAGTTATGAGATACATGTTGGGAAATTACACAACAGAATTAACTTCACACTATTCTAGTGGCAAATGAAGGGATTAGGATCAGAGCAATACCACAGAGACTGGGCAGAACAATCCACTGAGAGACAAACTGCACAATGAAGCTACAAAAACTGAGCTTTTCATAAAAAAAAAAACCCAGAGAACAAGGACATCCAGCATGGTTTATATCAAACAAATGAACATTCCCGCAGGGCGATGCATAGGCTTGACCCAGTTGTTATTCACTTTTTTATGCTCATTAGGATTTGCTGTGTCAGCTGCAAGTGCAAGTTTATCAAACAGATGCTTATTATGTCCAAGGTGTCAGAAAACTGGGCTGCGTCCTGTCCGCTGGGACGGGCAAGTGACACAGCAGGATGTACTCAATACACACCACCAATACAAGTTATAGAGAAATCTTATCTTGGTGGAGGCCTTCTTGCTCATTGTGCGTTTAAACATGCTCTTTTCATGCTGAGGTGAACTCTATTGCTGAGCCAATTAGAAGGCAAAACAGTTTTACCTTCATGGTTCCCTGAGTTACTTCAATTAGGGAGTTAATTTGTCTTTTTCATCATCACGTGTCCTGCGCCACAGGTTGGTTGGCTGCACTAAGTAGGCACCTCATTTTTGATGCCGGTCCAGGTTTAGCCCATCAATGATTACTTATACGTCATTTACAAAACAGCCTTGAGTCAAAGTAATCACACAGGCCAGTGCCAAGGCCGTAATTGCAGCTAATCAAATGCCTTCATATACAGTTGATGCACAAAATTCTCCTTGTTTACAGAGGCAGAGCAACTGGAGGTTGTTTGTTTGTGGAATAAAGACTGACAGAGAACAAAAGTGTTACAGTCACCATAATCAGTTTGAAGATCAGAGCAATGATGGCAGCTGATTTCAGACACATTGTTTGCTGATTGCATTAAGTGTGTCACATTTCAATGACAAGTCGACGACTTTCGTCATGTTCCTTCTCTTTCTGGCTGCAAAACAAGAGAGATACAGTACTTTGCTTTAGACAGTATTCCCCATTTGTGATCAGTGAATCTTCACCTATGTGAAAAGCACAAGAACACCCAAACAGAGAATATATGGATATGCAAACAGTACACCTATATCACCGACCTGGGACTGTGCTCTGCAGCATCTATCATCTAACATTTCTGCACGTGGAAGAGGCATCTTCAGTAAGACACTGGTGGCTGTGCTGCAGCTAAGCAACTGTTCCACTTTGATTGGCAGCTTTTGAAGTGTATTAAGGTAAAGCAACTACTGTTCCTTACCTACACCCTCCTGCTGTGCTCTTCTAGAAGAAACCTTTTCTCTACCCGTTTCCTTTTTCCTAGAGCCCAGAACATGACAAACACATTTGCTCTTGGGTTACCATGGTAACAAAGAGGTGTTTCGGGACAACGTAGTGCTCTTGGAAGAGACTGGACATCCCCCATCATATCCACTCATACAGGACAGAACAAGACTCATGGGAGGTACACAAAAATTATTTAGTAAATTCTATTATTGTAAAAACCAAAACAGTTTTTTTACCAGCTTAACATTAGCATCAGTTAACACTCAAGTTTTCCCCAATGGCATTGGGGGAAAAAGGAGAAGAAAATGCAGCACACACTTTCACACGTGGCAAATTGAATCTTTTTTGCGGCACCACATGGTTGATTTTCTTCTCGCTCAATGTCTTCGGTTAGCGCTCCACATCAATGACTCCCTGGCCCGTGATTGGTCATACTCTGAATGGGAAGGCTGTCACTGACCTTTGCCGCAGACAGCGTGAGGGCCAAAACTGCTCAGCCCCACATAACTAGCCCCCCAGTCACCAAAGCAAAACAACACAACAGAAACAAAGGAGAGATGAACAGTCACAGCAACAAAAGACAGACGCTGATTAAGAGAGAGGACGTGAGGTTGAGGGAAAGGGGCAGATCCACAAAGCGTTTCTACCAAAAATAACAGATAGAAAAAGAGCCAACTGGGTACAGACAAATGGAGAGAGTGGGGGTTTAAAATACAAAGCCTTGAAAAGAATTAATAGGCATTAAAAGCAAAAGAGTCACTCTGAAACAAGCATCCACTGGAAAAAAAGAACCCCGCAAAACAGGTCGTGATTGCTGAGCATGACTGCCTGAAAGTAGGTGAGAGGAGTCTCACACGGGGAGGGGGGCACACATTAAAATGCAGAGTGACTGCTCACTACCCTACTGTGGAAACGAAGAAATTGTTTATTAATGCTGCCAGCATAAAAACTATTAATCCATGGAAAAAGGTCAACCTCCAGAAAGCTGAGCTGCATTCAAAATGCTAAGCCACTCTCATATGCATAAGAGTCACGTCGACAGTGTGTGGTGCAGACAGTGGGGACTTCGGCAGATCTGTCTGATTATCAAACCCAGAGGAAGAGGAGAGGACATGACCAGATGAGGGGAGTCGCCGGTAAACAGCTGGATGGACTGTGTACACAGATGCGGTACACTCAGTTTTTCTTTTTGTCTTGACTAGAAACACATGTTGACGACCACTTAAAAAAACATTTTAAAAAAGTGAAAATGTTTGGCACAGTACATGGCAATAAATTACAGATCTCAGAATACTTGTAACAAGCTGCTAACTTCAGAAGTGAAATTACAGGCAGAGTTCAGTAGTTAAAAAGTCATGGTATGGTTTTGCAAGAAGGTTCACATCTGCACCGAACCCGGTATGAGCACTAATTTAAATAATATTTCTTTAAGGTATTTTCCATTTTGCATCATTTTTCTCAGTGCAGATAAAGTATGATCATTTTCCATTCCATACTCTGTAGACTTATATTAGACGGAAACATTTTATTTCCTTATTCTTCAAAGTAGATAGAAAAGTAAAAACCTCCATCTCAGCAGCCGTAAAAGCCACCAGGCTCTACTCCAGCCTTAAAGTCAATTCACTGGATGAAATATGATTTTATTTTTATGTGAAAGCCATTCCTATCAGACCATTTAGGTGCAGTCATGCAGTTTGAATAATTTATTTTTTAAACCAAGTAAGCAAAAAATAAAAGTGTGCACCACTACACTACACTTTCACTAGACTTTTTACCCAAAGAACAAAAAGCAGTGCAGTGACACCTTTAAGGTGTTTGGCCACCAGAAGCACTTAAGTGTTCAGTAAAGTCTCCCTGAAGGCAACGACCATTTAACACTGACCAGCAGAACACCCCTAACTCCTTCTATACACACACGCGCTG